AGTAAGATGAGGAACACAATTAAAAAAAAAAAAAAAAAAAAAAACAAACATCTCTACCACAAATCAAATCAAATCAAATCAAGATTTGGATCATTTTTCTTTCTTTATACAATAAATACAAATTTCACATAATTAAAGGTACAAGAAAATATTGAGCACCTTTAAAAAAAAAAACCCATAATTTTGTTTTGAGAGAAGAATTTGTAATTGGGGTTGGATGTTTTTTTTTCGCCGATTCTTGAATTGTTTATAAACGACCCTAACTACTTAGAGCATTTGAAAAGTTTAAGGTTAAATAATTTAATGTTAAGAATCTGGGTGAGGGTGGGTCGTGTATTTGAGTTTTGATATTTTTCTATACGAAGATTCGGGCACGAGGAGTCGGAGTTGTTTAACGTGGAATGATGATGAAATGAGGGGCTAATAATGAAGTAAAATGGTAGATGTTGATGTGTAAAAAGAAGTGTTGGAGATGGTGGTGGGGCTTGAGCTTTATAGAAAGACATAATGGTGGGCGAAGATAGGAATCCCACCATGGTTGCTCCAAAAAGCCAACAAACAAACAAACCTATGGCACCAACCACTCGCCTAGGAATCATATCTTAAACCATTTTCATGTTCTTTTCTTTACTTTTACATGAAATCTCATCACTACCTTGCTTGCTACTTCCACTCTCAATTCTCATCATATTGGGTGGAGTAAGTCTAAAGGTTTTTGTATGCCCGTGTCGTTGAAATATATGTATATACTCTATGCACGAAAAAGAAAAGCAAACAATTATCGTTCGAGAGCTGCTTTGAGAAAGCAACTAGTTTATACATGTGAAGTTTGGATGAAAACGTGGTTTGTGTATAGTGATCTTTAATCTAATGGTTTGTGTAGCTGCAAGCCATTTATTTCAACGATATGGGAAACGAGAGATGAGGTGCATTTTGATAAAATAATGTGATGATCAGTGGATAGAGACGTGTGAAAGTTTGAAAGTGACCGAATAAGGAGAAATCACGAGGTATTACGTTTGAATTAAATTAAAAAGAGAAAAGAGAGAGAAGAAATTAATGGGGGAACGAAGTTTGGTACAATCAATCAATGTAGAAAATGCATCTTATTGATTATGGAGCATTGGAATTGGTCCCATTTGGCTATGAACACTCATTATTTGGCATTTGAATTCACAACCCACTTGTATTTCTATTCTCTAATACTCAATGAACACACAATTCCATCAATCTTTCTCTATTCATTTCCCATTTCTTTCCAACCGTTTCCCTCTGCTTTGCGAGTCTATCAATCGTGTAAAGAGTGTAAAGGCGAGTTTATAGAAAAGTGTACATGTGTAGAGTATCTAAGTTTCTCATAAAAAAGTGTTATATTTGGTGTCGATTGATACTCGACGTACTATGCACGAAACTATATGTCCACTTATCAAAAAGACGTCTATTTGAGAAGAATTGGAAATGACTCAGGGAAGGTATGGTGTCAGCTCTCCACCACCCTTGGGTTCAGTGGCCTAAGCAAGCTACCCTACGGTACATATGTGTCATATCGTGGGCAAACGTTTTGAGACATGCATCTCAGACAACTTCTTTTGACATGGGTTTTTTTAGTGCCGAGTATCGAAGTAACTTAGGATGTAAGAGAGGAAAAACATGAGTAAAGGGGAGTTTGGAAAGTAAGAAAAGAAGTGAGATCTGAGAGAATTGATACTCATCTCTGATTTTCAGTCATTACATCTCAGCTAAGAAAAGGAGAGTCATTGGGATGATGAATGAAGAGGACAGGCAGAGTAGGAGCAGGCCTGACAACCCCAACTTATGATGTCTCTCATTGATCTACCAAACAAAAACTCCTTTTCCTTGTTCTGCTTTAGCGTTTATCTCTTTAAATCTTCACACTTTCATCACTTTATACATACTATGAACTGTCTGCACAAGCTCTAAAATACAAGCTCAACACACCTTTCAACAATCTAAGCAAAGTATTTTCACAGTAATGCACATTTATGCACAAGGTTTTGGCTCTGATAAGCTAGGATGTTGTAGATATATAACTGCAAGCTTAGAGGTTGGCTGTTCATGGACTTGATGGGGGTGCTTACTCCTAGTTGATGCCAATGCTTGGTATTCGTTTTGAACTCTCCATGACAGCCGCCAAAGTCCACTACTAGTAAATAATGTTTCGTTTTTAAAACGTGTCTGCTAGGGAGAGGTTTCCATACCCTTATAAAGAATGTTTTGCTCTTCTCTCAAACTGAGATGGGATCTCACAGTCCACTTCCTTGGGGTCTAGCGTCTTTGCTGACACACCGCCTAATGTCTGGCTCTGCTAACATTTGTAACAGTCTAAACCCACCGCTAGTAAACATTGTCCGCTTTGGCTTGTAACATATCGCTGTCAACCTCACGATTTTAAAACGTGTCTACTAGAGAGAGGTTTCCACACCTTTGTAAAGAATGTTTCGTTCCCCTCTCTAACTTAGGTGGGATCTCATAGTTAACTGCATTTGTAACATGTTATACCAAGATAAACTCGTAAAGAACTGAGCCAAATTTAATCTTTACGTCTTATACTTACAACTACAGAACCCAATAGTTTCCTTCACTGGTGCCAATCAGAAGCAACGCTCACTTTTCCTAAAGCCAAGCAAGAAGTAGCCATGTGAAAGAAATAATGCACCGTTCAAGGTTGCCTTTGATAAAAGGACTTGGTATCAATTCTAAATGGCACATGGGCAGACAAGAAATTTAGGACCATCTTTAGCAGATAGAGGACAAGAATAGAAGTGAATGGTCAACCTTTTGGATGAAAGACAGTAGCCCTGAAACAGTTGAGTGGATGTAATCCTGCAGCTCAGGATGATGAGCTTTCTGCACAACCGCATTCATCTACCTTCTTCTTTCAAAAGCATCTTCATATAAACCCCACCAATAATTACTCACAATTCCTATCTTTTCCATCTTTTCTTGATTTCATTAGTATCACCATCCTTTCCCAGAAATAAAGCAGTAAATAGGATCTTAGGCAAAGAGACTAAAGAAAGAATTGCACCCAGAAGGGTAAATTCGTTTGAGGAAGACAGTTCATGTAATGGCCACCTCCAAGAATTCAACTAGAATCTGAACAGTCTCCCCTGGACCTACTTTTACTCATAGCATCAAGAAACTAAAGTAACTAAAGTGTGAGATCCCACGTAGGCTGGAGAGGAGAATGAATCATTCTTTCCAAGGGTGTGGAAACCTCTCCCTAGCACATGCGTTTTGAAAATCTTGAGGAAAAACCCAAAGAGAACAATACCTACTAACAGTGGACTTGGGCCGTTATAAATGCTGAGTCCCGAAGGAGGTTGGACATGAGGCGGTGTGCCAGCAAGGACGCTGGGCCTTGAAGGGGGATGGATTGGGGGATCGCCATTGATTGGAGAAGGGAACGAGTGCCAGAGAAGACATTGGGTCCCAAAGGGGTGGATTGTGAGATCCCACCTCGATTGTGGAGGAGAACGAAACATTTTTTATAAGGGTATGAAAACCTCTTCCTAGCAGACGCATTTTAAAAACCTTGAGGGAAAGTCCGAAAAGAAAAGTCCAAAGAGGACAATATAAACCTTGAGGAGAAGTCTAAAAGGAAAAGCTCAAAGAGGACACTCTATAGACAATATATACTAGCGATGGGTTTCGGCTGTTACTTGGGGCTATAACGGGCTAGAAGAAATAAGGAAAAACCTTGAGGTGATACTTCATTGTCTCTTTGAGTCCATTGGCTAGATAAGATGCCAAGTGATATGGTCTTTAAGCTAGACGATCAAATTCTCAACATAAACATGTAAGCCAATTACATAAACGGTCTCAAGCACACTCCAGTCCATTTGACAGCTCCTTATCTTCAAGCAAGTTACATGAGTGTCAAAGATGATACTACATTTCGAATGTTTAGTTAAGAACCTCCATGCGGCCATGCCTAAGTGCAACGGTTTGCTGCATTGCCAGTGCCCATTAGGATGTTCTTAACAAATATTAAGAGAATACACAATTCACAGACTTGCTCAACTGTTCATCATAATTCCAATGCTTCTAACTCCTTTCATTGCCCATCTCTTAACATCTTGTAAACTCACCGAGAGTAAACCAAATGAACGTCCTGGAAGCTAAATCCTTTTCCAATTTTGAGTATCAAATAAAAATCCAAAAAAATAAGAATGACCCAATAAAATGCTAGTAACTATCTTCTATGAAACAGCCAATCCAACGCAAAATTAACAATGAACAGATGGCACAGAAGAAAACTTGGAAGATTTCTTTTCCTTTTTTTTTTATCGTTTCTTCATGAATTTAGGATGGGGAAGAAAGCTTACAAGTGTTGAAACTTACAAGACCATGGGTCGTATTTCATTAAGCTCCTGCCCTGATGTCTAGAGATGGATGCTTGGGCTCGCAAAGTGATCGTCCCGCTTCATAGTCTGTAAAAGCTGCGTGCCCTTTTCAGTGTTGAAATCGGGTTTAATTCGGTTCTCCATTCATGTCCTCGGTTCAAAAATGGAAAACCGAACTTCATTCTATTTGGTTCGACTTTTTATGTTAAAGAAAATAAACCAAATAAACCGAACCGAGTGTTTTAAATTTAGGGACCGGCCATGGCTCTTCCTCTCGGTTGGGGTCAAAACCGACTAAACCGAACCGCGGTCACCCTAAATCTTAAACTAAACCGAACCGAGTATCATCCCATGAGGCCCAATTGAATTGCCGCGGTTTTGATGCATCGAATTTCCCACAACCAGCAACCGCCAACTAGAGAGGTGGCAGAGAAGAACTTCTTAGAGCGAGTTTTCGTAAGGTATGATTTTCTCAAACGAAATTTACATTAGAATTTGAACATCATTGGGATTTGCTATAGTAACTTCGATCGTGGTGAAATTCTAATAATGTAAATTCGTTTAAGAAGGAAAGGGAAGGGAGGTCGAGCTTGTGTGGTTGTTCTTGGTGATCTAGGTCGAAGTCCTCGTATGCAGTATCAAGCTCTTTCTCTTGCCCGCCAGGTATGATTTTACCGTTTCCTCAACTGAGTCTTGATTGGTGTGTATTATGAATGTTCAATTTAGCTGCGTATTGTTGGTTTCAGTGGTTTCTTTGATTTCTGTAGAGAACTTGCCAAAATTCCTATAGCGACTTGAGTAGTGATGTACAAAATTCCTTCAAAATCTGCCATGGATTTTCCGTCCTGTAACACTACTACTTAAGTCTCTCGTTCAGTTTCTTATGCTTCTTTGGTTCCTTATAGTTAGAATTCATTCGCCTGCCTTCTTCGTTGTGCAGGTAAATAAATGGTTGAAAATTATGATGAGTCCAGCTTCTTGATTATGTCATATTTAAAAAAATGACAAATGGTATAATTTTTTCTGGTTTCTGGGTATTGAGTTATCTCCTGATCTTTTTTGAACAACCTGTAATCCTCACCTCTTAAGAAGAGAGAGTGCGTGTTTCTTGATGGTAAAGGCATATGATTGTGCATATGAATTAGCCATTCATAAAAAGATATTTGTTTCCTTTCCTCTTCTTAACCCTAGCATAAGTTGCCTCAAGATGTATTAAAGTAATGATTGTAGCCACAAGTCCAAAATATTGTCTGGGTCCATTTACCTGTAGATAAGCAGATTTTTATTTATCTGGTTTCCTCTTTTACACTTTTACACTCTCAAACAGGGCCTTGTCTCACTGTGTTGGCTAGGATTATTGTACAAGTCTTTCTGTATGTTTCAAAAGTTATATGTCAGGGATGCAATGTTTGGTGCATGTACTTAAGAATAAGAATTAGTTTGCCCACTCCTCCGGTGAGATCCCACATCGGTTGGAAAGAAAAACGAAACATTCTTTACAATGATGTGGAAACCTCTCCCTAATAGATGCGTTTTAAAACCGTGAGGCTGACGACGATACGTAACGGGTCAAAGCGGGCAATATTTGCTAGCGGTAGGCTTGGGCTATTACAAATGGTATCAGAGCCAGACATCAGGCGGTGTGTGCCAGCGAGAACGTTGGGCCCCTAAGGAGGGTGGATTTTGAGATCCCGCATCGGTTGGAGAGGGAAACGAAGCATTCTTTATAAGGATGTGAAAACATCTCCCTAATAAACGCGTTTTACAACTGTGAGGCTGATGGTGATACGTAATGGGCCAAAGCGGACAATCGACTAGCAGTGGGCTGTTACGCCTCCTTCCTCTCCCCCCACCTCTGGGGTGCATGTAACGTGACTATTGTTAAATTAACAATCTGCAGTTTGGCCTTTTTCCTGTAACTGGCTAATGTTCATTATCTTGATGTAGTTTTCACACATTTGAGAGTTGGTGAAAGACATTTATGTTAACATCTGCTTTTCCATTGTACTTTTTGAGATTGGCTGCTTATTTCCAATTTTTACAATAATCCCTTACGAGTTTTCTTCCGCAGAATCCTCCTTCTGTTCCAACGTTAATTGCTGTAAAATGGGCTAGCAACTAAAGCGATCTGCATTTATCATTGATTGCCATAATTTTGGTCATACTTTGCTTGCCCTGTCCCTAGGAAGAAATAGCAGTTTTGTGGCTGTATACCGCTGGTACTGAATATAATTTATAATTTTCCCACTCTTTTGTCCATCGAGTATGTGGTTGGCTGATCTATCGTTGGCTGAATTATAGTGTGATTTTAGTCTAGGATTGAACAGCATTTTGGGAAGATGGCAGATGGCTCCTTTTGTGTCACGAGACAATGCAACATGAACTGGCTGAAAACTGGGATATCAAGTAAGAGGGTGAGACTGATGGGTGAATGGCAATATAGTCAAACTTCATCTAATAGAGCCCATGAAAGTTTACTGTCGAGTATTAAAAACAATTGTTTTCTTGTTTTTTCTGTTTTCCTTTTTTATATGTAGAGCCACAGTTCTCTATGATCAACCTCCGAGTTTTTCCACATTGCTTCACTCCAGGACAAACATGAGGTGAGTTATGGTCGCCTTTTTTTGTTTCATTCTTTCTGTATACTGATGCGATATATAAACTATGTTGTTCATTTTAGTTGTTTTGTAGGCTACATAGTGATATAATTCAGCCTCTTGGTCTTCAAGATTGTGTTAGCTATGGTACGATCTACATTTTTCAATAAATTTACTGTAGGTTTAGGAGAAAGTATTTTCTTATTTATCAAAAGACTCATAATAGGTAAATCTTCATAAATAGGGTACATTCTCAGTTCAACATAATTTCCCTTGTTCATTCAAGTTAACACTATAACACTCAGTTCAACATAATTTCCCTGGTTAGGTTTTACGTTTGACCTAATTTACTAAGGCTTCTTGAAGAATTGATATTTTCCATTTCTTTTTCTTGGGGATGTTCTATGTTTGTGCTTTCATTACTCTTTCTAGGTGTTTTTTTGGTCATTTGATTGTTAACGTGAATATGATAGTTTGTACTGTAACTTGTCAGGATATTAATAGCTACAGAAAATTCTTTAGGCAGCCATTTAGTTGTAGATAATAATGGCATGGGATAGCTATAAAATTAACATCTAAATGCTTATATTTGGTATGCACATTGGTTGCACTCCCAAGCATGACATCCATGGATGTCTGGCTTTGCATGAACCGAGGTGCCCACTCAAATTAGTAGGTTTCAGGATTCTCTTCCTATAGGATCCCGTATGGATACACTACAATATTTTAAATCAAAGTCAATCACATGTTCGTGTTAAGTATATTTTGTTTGAAAGATAATGGCATTTCCGACTTGAAAGGGAAGCACTTTGAGATAGCTTTGAACCTTGGTAAGGATGATAATTCAAACAGACCTCCAACAGGCAAAAGTTGAATATTTCTAATAGTAACATTTAACAATTAAAAAGGTTGAAACTTATGAATTCCTTTCTGAAAGCACAATGTATTGTTGACTTCCTGTTTTGCATCTTCAAACTTTGAGATCACTGCCTTAACTTCCTGTAATGTCTTTTCAGGATTCCAGACGAAGAAGAAGTTGGAGTGTGAGACCCCACATCAGTGGGAAGAGGAGAACGAAACATTTCTTATAAGAGTGGAAACTTGTCCCTAACAGACGCGTTTTAAAACTTTGAGGGGAAGTTTAGAAGAAAAAGCCCAAAGAGGGCAATATTTGCCAGCAGTGTGCTTGTGTTGTTACAAATGGTATCAAAGTCAGACACCAGACAGTGTGTCAGCGAGGACGCTGGCCCCTAAGGGGGTGGATTATGAGATCCCACATCAGTTGAAGAAGAGAATGAAGCATTCCTTATAAGGGTGTGGAAATCTCTCCCTAGCAAACACGTTTTAAAACTTTGAGAGAGCCCAGAAGGGAAGTCCAAAGAGAATAATATCTGCTAATGGAGGGCTTGGGCTGTTACAAATGGTATCAGAGCCTGACACCGGACGGTGTGCCAGCAAGGACATTGGTCACCCAAGGGAAGTGGATTGTGAGATCTCACATCGGTTGGAGAGGAGAATGAAACATTTTTTATAAGAGTGTGAAAACCTATTTACGCATTTCAAAAGCTTGAGGGGAAGCCCTACAGGAAAAGCTCAAAGAAATAATATCACGTGGAAACCTCTCCCTATCGGTGGGCTTAGGCTGTTACATGTAGTCATGTATGACAGGCGTGTTGCTGCAATGCTTGAGGATGATTCAATTTCTGATGAATTTATCTGGAGAGAAATCTATGATGGAAAGAAATATTTATATCCTAGGTTATTATTCATCATTACTGATAACTGCTTTTCACCTACTGAGGTACTACTTTCGCTTGGACATATCTAAATTAGAAACCTGAGGTACTACTTTCGCTTGGACATATCTAAATTAGAAACCTGAGTTACTACTTTCGCTTGGACATATCTAAATTAGAAACCTGAGGTACTACTTTCGCTTGGACATATCTAAATTAGAAACCTGAGGTACTACTTTCGCTTGGACATATCTAAATTAGAAACCTTCCACTGTTTATAAAGGTAAAGAGCCCGTCAAGTATGAAGATAAGATCAGTAAATTACACCTTAGCGTGTGCCATTTCGTACAATGTGGCTGTCTGCAGATCACTTCTCGGTAGTTTGTACAACGGTTTCCCCCCTTCTTATTTTATCTTGCTGACAAAGATTAATAACTATATGCACTTATATCATATTTTCTCAGGAGCAGCAGATCTAGGCGTTTGTTTGCATATTTCTTCATCAGGCTTGGATCTTCCAATGAAGGTATGCATTAGACGTCTTACCCATTAAGGGATGCTATTTAATTGAGAATCAAAGGATCCTATTTAATCATCAACATTTGCTTCCATGAAATGCTATATTTCCATCTTTGAAATTTATAAAAGCTACGTTCACATATTGTATTGTATTTGATGGAATGGCAATTCCGATTATATGCGCATCCACGAGAAAAGAGAGAAGAACGTAAAGCTTATATTATAACGTCAATGTGATTACTTAGGATCTTAAAAACATTAACATTTTAAAGACTGATAATAATAAACTGAACAACCAACAAAAATGCTTAATATTCAGAACATTGACCCACAAAACATATTCCAATAACAAAAGTACCTGAGTAGTCCATACAAACACGCAAAACGAAAAATAAAAACAGTCGAAAAAGAAAAAAAAAAAAAAAAGCATCTCCAAAAAGATAGGCTTTCGTCCTATACGATGATAAGATAAAAATAGGGAACTAATTAGAGAAACTCTCCGCCTGCGGATTCACAAGGTTGTGTTGAAAATTCAACCAAACAAGTGATGATTTAAAGCTTGTCTTCGAACTCCGACAATGGAGTCATCTGCTCCTTCAATCCCTTCCTCTTGCGGATATCAGCAACCAACTGTGCAGCTTGGGAGCCACTTTCTAATGGATCTGAGGACATCATGTCCCAATGGTCAAACACACACTGAGGGAAAGCCTGGCCAGAAGTTGCAGCTCTCAGAGTGCTCGAGAATCCGAACGACTCAATGACAGGGAGATATGCCTTGATGTTGTAGAGAGGGGTACCAGGCCTCTGCATTTCCTCGAACACATGTCCACGCTTCTGGTTAAGAACACTGTAAATACCTCCCAAAGCTTGCTCCGGGGCCTGAATTTCCACCAGGTACACTGGCTCAAGAAGTCTGGGTTTGGCTGTCAACTGAGATGCGTAAATTACCCTCCTAGCTGTGGGAATGACTTGACCACCTCCTCTGTGGATGGCATCAGCATGAAGAACCACATCACACACTTCAAAACAGATGCCTCTCATGTTTTCTTCAGACAACGCACCTTCTTTAGACGCCCACTGGAAACCTGCCACCACGGAATCCTTGATTTCATTCAGGTATTGAACTCCCTTACACATATCAACCACCATGTTGGGGCCAGTAGTCTCAGGACCAAAGCACCAAATCTTCTTCGCGAGATCCTTGTCCCAACCAAACTCCTCCGCCAAAATTTTAGACCGAATTTTAGGATCATCTCGTGGGCCTATGCGACCATCGTCAATAGCCTCTGCCAGTCCTTCCTCCATGGGTCGTGCTTCCATGTATAGACGATTGTGTTTGTTGGGGGATTTGCTCATCACTGTGCGGCATGACCTCTCAAGGACAGTTTCACGGAAAGAGACAACAGGGTCAGATTTTATGATCTCAGCTCCACCCATGAAGTCGTCTTGCAAATCCTTCAGACAGATCTCAAGATGTAGTTCTCCAGCACCAGCCACAATATGCTCACCAGATTCCTCCATGGAACACACAACCATAGGGTCAGACTTCGCCAGACGTTTAAGGCCTTCCACAAGCTTGGGAAGATCAGATGCCACCTTGCACTGAACAGCCACACGCACCACAGGAGATACAGAAAATTTCATGGCTCGAATTGGATGAGCATCTACTTCCTTCTCATTTGTCAGAGTAGCATTCTTGGTGATAAATTGATCCAACCCAACCATGGCAACCGTATTACCACAAGGCACATCCTCCACTGTTTCTTGCTTCTTTCCCATCCAAATGACAGTTCTCTGGACACTCTTCACGTACAAGTCTTTCTTCTCTCCAGGGACATAGTTTGGACCCATGATTCTAACTTTCAAACCAGTTGAAACCTTCCCAGAGAAGACACGACCAAAGGCAAAGAACCTGCCCTTGTCCGATGCAGGAATCATCTTTGATACATAAAGCATAAGAGGTCCCTCAGGGTCACAATTTCTAATGGCACTAGCATAAGCGTCATCTAGTGGACCTTCATACAAGTTCTCAACACGATACTTCTGTGCCGTGGCCGGGGAAGGGAGATGAAAGATCATCATTTCCAAGAGAGCACTGCTTGCAGGGAGCCATGTTTGCATGACTCGCTTCATCAATGCTTTACCCATCAAATCCTTCTCTTCAGATTTCATGACAACTCCAAGCTTCTGCAACATAGGCCATAGCTTGTCCTTCTGGTCATTCATGCAAGTAGCAATAATCTGCTTGATAGGTTCATAGCAGAACTGAACAAATCCACGCTTGCATGTAGCAGTTCCAGTGTTCTTGCTGGTCCATTTCTTGGTGGCAGGGTCGAAGAAGTTCTCGCCCCAAAGCCTCTCCATCATTTTTGACTCGTCCACTCCAAATTTAGAGGCGTACATCTTTGCAAAGTTGGTCAGGGTGAAAGCCCAACCGTGCAAACCAGCAGAGAAAGCAACTGTTCCCTTCTCGGGGTACACTTGCACATCACCAAGAAGTGGATCCTCATATGTAGCCATGATCACATTAGCATTCTCAATAACTCTCTGGAAGGTCTGGTAAGCCTCTTCGCCATCTACTTGAAGCTCAAGGAAGCACCTGTCCATCTTGTTAACAGTCAACACAGGTCGAATCCTCTCTCCCAACGCCTGACGAAGCACTGTCTCTGTTTGGACACAAACACCTTCAACACAATCCACCACCACAAGGGCACCATCGGTAATACGTAGAGCAGCTGTAACCTCAGATGAGAAGTCGACGTGCCCAGGAGAATCGATAAGATTGATAAGATACTCATTTCCATTCCTCTCTCCCTTATAACTCTTCAATGATGCATCAGACATTTCATAGTAGAGGGAGATTCCAGTCGACTTGATGGTGATACCCCGTTCTGCTTCATCTTGTCGGGTATCTGTCATCCGAACATCACCCGCAACTTCTTGAGCAATGATACCGGCAGCAGCCACAAGAGAATCCGTAAGAGTGGACTTCCCTGAAATGTGAAAAAGATGAATGTAAGATTGAGAAAATTATCATTTATAATACAGAATCGGCTCATGACAGCCTGATAAGATGAGATAAGTCCAGGGTTTAAACCGTTCACCATAAAAATTTTAAGAAACAAAATATTTAAAATAATTAAAACAGAAGGTTAAAAAAACAATAGAAAGGAAATAAAAATGTTTTCAATGGGTTTCGAACGCACCCCAAAGATTTTCTAAAAACAAAGGGTTGGTGGAAAAGCAACCTAGTAATGATCTAGATATAATCATGAGTAAACATGTCACTAAACGCCAAGCAAAAAAATTCCATTACCAAGTTCACCATATCATATCAAAGCTCTTGTAAGAAAAACCAATACATAAACATAACAAAAATGATTGCCAAAGAAGATAATTCCTGACGAATTCGATTTAAGTATAAATATAATACCATGATCGACATGAGCAATAACAGACATGTTACGAATGTTATGCTTGTAGTCCATAATCCTACGAAGCTCCTCGGCTGTAAACTTCACCTGTAGACCCAAAAAACACAAAAAAGTTTATATCGAGTCATAACCAAAATTACGAAGAGGAAAAGTAACAGGAAGGGAACTAACCATCTTGACAAGTCTTCAAATTTCACAACGTCCGAAAATAAGATTGTTAGCTGTCAACGATAAGACCCAATGTTAAAAACGATCAGATCAATCGAACAATGAGTCAGATAGCATAATCACACCACACATAAATCTACGGATCATCTAGCTAGCTCGTCTGCTAAAATAACATTAAAACATACATCCCTAATCCAAACATCCAAACATAATCATCATTTCATAACATATCTCTGATTACCATCCGTGGTAAGTCTTTCAATAATTAAATTCATCAAACATTATAAACTTGGCAAACAGATCTTACAAGTGCCCACGAAAAAAATCTCAGACGAAAGACGACAACAAAAGAAATCAAATCAAAGACGCGATGGAATAAGGTGCGAGATGAATTAGATAAAGAAGAAAAATACCTGAAAGAAACGGAGGGAGAGCAAACGAAAGCGCGCTCCCTTAAGCCTCCACAAACGTGTATAGGCACTGGGAAACAGAGAACTTTGAGAGGCCGAAGAAATGGAGGCGATAATGGGACATATATATATCGCTTCAGTGCAGAGTTTCCTATTCCGACCTCTAGGGTTTGGTATTTGGGCTGGGCCTGGTGGATGTTTCTGGCCCATTTAGATCATGATTTGGGCTCAAATTTCCATTTTTAACCCTCCTTTACACCTGTTATTTCAGTTTTGCCCTAATTCTGTGGGGAGTTGTTCGCTGGTAATTTGTCATGGATGATGTATATTTGTTTTTAAATAGGTTAGAATTATAAATTTTGTTTGTATCTAAATTTGATTTGATTTTTAATTACGCTATTATTCTTTGAATTTACCCTATTTAAATAATACCTATGAGAACTACTTTGTTTGAGGGCTTCAGAGAAAAGAGTCGAGCCTCGATTAAGGGGAGGCTATTCGAGAGCTCCATAAGCCTCAGGGGAGGCTTATAAGTGAAGAATACTATCTCCATTGGTATGAAGCCTTTTGGGAAGTCCGGAGTAGAGTCACGAGAGCTAACACTCAAAGTGGACAAGATCATATATTCTCTGACTAAATAAAACTAGAAATAAGTTGCACTAAATTTTGACAAGGGGATTTCACGTTTATACAAAAAATGCTTAATTCCCCGCCCCACTTACTATAAATATATCTTCGACTGGAAAAGTTACCCAAATCAGATGGGAGCAAAAATAAATTAAATTTTTTTACAAAAATGTGATGTAAATATTATTAGTTTTTAAAAGGAAACTTATTGATTACCATATAAAAAGATGATTGTCATATAAGGAAATACAGTTCAAAATTTTCAAAATAGTCTTAATTAATTCTAAAATAAAAGCTTGGCTTATTGCTAAAGCTAAATATTGATAGCTGTGAATCCATCTTCAACGCATTCAAACAAAAAAATATCTGTAAAAGACCAAGAACCAAGATCTGGTACAATAAAGGCTTCTCAGCCTCGTTCTCCTAAGAACTGCAACATTTGTTATACAACAACGCCTAATCTTTCTTTTTCCAGTTTCAAATGAATGGAAGGGAAGGGGAACAAAGTGTAAGCTCCTGTAACACCCCTGTGAAACAAGAACAGCCTTACTTGGCCTTCTTGAGAAGATTGGAGGTCTGAAACTCAGCATCATCTCTGATGAAACTCCACCACACATAGGTCAGGGGGATGGTTGTGGCGTGCCACAGAGCATGAGCATCTATGAGCCCTTCATGTGGTGGGAAATCATAGATTTCCAGTAGTAATGCTAACCCACCGCCCACAACCACCGTCCACACTTTCCACCGAGAAGGATGGTGGGTGACACCAGCCCAGATTGCCCAAATCAGAAGTTGAGACAACCCCATGGTAACACACACGATCATGTTCCACCCTACAAAATGTCACAAGTTTTTGGTTAATTCTCATGACCCAGATATTAAAGTCATATTCGGCCTTAGATTTCCACCTTGACAACTCGGCCCTTACTTACAAACCATACCCATACCCATAGCACATCGATTAGAGAGGGGAAGGAAACATTCCTATAAGGATGTGGAAACTTCTCCCTAGTAGACGCACACACCAAAGGATGATAATAAAGTCAAAAGGAGTATGGGGACTTCTCATCACCAAGCTTGGGCCGTTTGATTTGAATATGAGGGAACAAATTTAGAAGAATAGCTTGCATGAAGAAAAAAGGATGCGGTAAACTTGATAAACGAACTAGAGAAATTGTATTATAAGATTGTTTGTAACAGCCCAAGCTCACCGCTAGTATTGTCCGATTTGGACCGTTACATTCGGTCAGCCTCACAGTGTTTAAAACATTAATGCTAGGGAGAGGTTTCCACACTCTTACAAGGAATGTTTCGTTCCCCTCTCTAACCGATGTGGGATCTCACAATCCACCCTCTTTGGGGGTCCAGCGTCCTTGCTTGCACACCGCTTGGTATCTGGCTTTGATACCATTTGTAACAGCTCAAGCCTACCACTAGTAGATATTGTCCAATTTGGCTCATTACATATCGCCGTCAGCCTCACGGTTTTTAAAACACATATCCTAAGGAGAGGTTTACACACCCTTACAAGGAATGCTTCGTTCCCTTCTCTAACCGATGTGGGATCTCATGTTGCTATATTGGTTCAATATCTCGGAGCCTAGCAGTGCAGGAAGGGGTAAAAAAAGAGTAACAATTACCATAATCAAGCTCGTAAAAGTTGATGTATAAGATATGCGTAAGTGCAAAAGCAAGCAAAGGAGCTGCAACCATGACTCTGGTAGCCTCATGCCTCGCATTGAAACTTCTTAGAATTGCCAGAATGAGTGAAAACCCAAGTAATGCCACAGCAGATGAGTAATCCAATTTCTCTGTCAGAACCACATCACTGCACTTCAATGGCATGTAATAACAATCAGGGCGTGCTATAAAGATATAAACAGGTGATTTGCAACAATTGATGAAGACAGAATTCGAAGGCTCACCGACTGTGGAAAACAGCACTCCAAAACCAAGAGTTCATTGCAAAGAGTGCATAAATGTGCCACAAACTGGCAAATTCATAATGTGCCTTCTTGTCTTGTCTCAAAGGTAACTTATAATATAGAAGGATAAAAAAGGACAGCCAGCCATGAAAATGCATTGAAAGGTTCAGAGCAGAGAATGCTACAGAAACAGGTTCCTGTGCAAATAATGCACAAACAATACTCATAAATATGAACAGGTATCATTTCAATCCCAAATTCATACTCAGCAATTTGATAAAACAAACCTGGATTCCATATATACGCTTAAAGGGCCATTTGCCATGATATTTAACAGGATGATAGCCAAGTGCTTCTCTTTCGCCCTCTCGTTTGACCATGCAATGGTAACGGCAATCACTTTGGCAGTCCCATTGCTTCCACCTTATGTAAAGTGGTTCTTGCATATACCATGGCTGATCAACAGAAACGCCATCTGAAGAGAATTTGCACTGGGGAAAGCATTGCTGATCAATGCATCCTGTTTCTTCACAGTGTTTTATGCAAGTCCTGCAAGTGAATACAAAATTGAATGAATCGCTGAAAAAATGAAAGAGTTACTATCCATGAATAAAAACAAAGATGAGCGAGGTTTTAGGAACAAACAATCACAAAACTGATACATCTAACCTCTATGCACAATAATGCACTAAAACAAACTTTGGATGCACAAAAATTAGCCACTGCACTGATAAGATTGAATACCAAGTCCATGGAACACTAAGGAAAAAGAGAATTCTTTGCATACGATACGATGTTAAAGGGGCTGCTTACTTACCAAACAGATCCTCCTACATCTATATATAAATGCTGGTTTATCAAGAATATGCAAGAAAAACACTTCGGATTGTTGATTCGTCGCCAGAGATGGCTTAGAACCAATAGTTCATTATCTAATGGATTTTTCCGTTCTAATACTCCATCCGAGAGTTATCAGTATTTATCAAATTGTTCCTGTCTCTATTGGATCAAATGACAAAGACATTGTTGAGAAAAAAATGGCTTTTTCCGGATGAAATGAAAATTGGATTCATGTAATGAGAGAAAGGTTTCCCATTCCTTAGTCGGAAAAATATGTGGCCATGAAATAGAGATTAAGTGGAACAGAATTGATGGGGAGTTTCTTCATATTTTGGACCATGACCGACTGTTTTTACGTATATTATAAGTAAAAAGGCGGTATGTGAAGAAATGATGGAAAGGGCTATATTTGCTTAAGAATTGGTAGTTCCTATCGTAATGCATGACTACTTAACAAATGGATTCACGGCAAATACTAGCTTGGCTCAATATTGCCGAGATAATGGTCTATTTCTTCCCGTCTTAGACATTACCTTCCATTAGCCAGTCCCTTAACAAACAAAACTAGAAAGCAAGGTACTATAAAAACTCTATGACATTAGCTTAGCATCATTTAAATTTCTTTACACAGCCAGAATTAAAACAGGAGTAGGCAACATGAATGGTGATATCATTGATGTGCTAGCTGAGAGGTTTCTATACCCTTATAAGGATGTTTCGTTCTCCTCTCCACCTCCCTTGGAGGCCTGCGTTATCTCTGGTACACCGCCTTATGTCTGACTTTGATACCATTTGTAACGGCCTAAGCCCATAACTAGCAAATATTGTCCTTTTTTAGCTTTCCGTTTCGAGCTACCTCTCAAGGTTTCAAAGCGTGTCTACTAGGGAGAGGTTTCCACACCCTTATGAAGGATGTTTCGTTCTCCTTTCCAACCGGTGGGATTTCACAATTGAGGTCTCCAGTCTTCACTAATTCGAATAAAGCTGAAGAATATGCAAACAAAATTAAGACAAAAGTGGTACCTGTATTGTGGGTCAATATCACCAGCACTAGCGTTCAAGCCAATCACGAACCATGCCAACACCCCTACCAAGACACACCAAGAGAACTCCTTCATCTGTCCAGAAATCGATCAGAAATTAGAGACATCCAAATGGCTTCCACTATTAAGCCCCGACAATAACCACGACATTTAGGAAAGAACCCATTGATACACACAGTGGGCATCAATTCTTTTCAGCACTACCCACTTCCACATCGGCGCGTTAGGAAGCGAAAGATCTGCAACACTCCGAAGCTTATTTGAGCCCCAAAGTAACAGAAAATGAAAACAACAAATGAATATAATTAAGAACAAAAAGAAACGAGCTGATGCCATAAAAGATCGTTCGAGAAATCCTAGAAGATGCACAATCATTCATACAGATCAAGTCCTCCTACGCACGAGTCAATTTCCAATCAAATCTAACCCAGAAATTCATCAATCAATCACCATATGAGTTCAACATGAATCAATGTAAAAACCAGCTCGGAAAGTGGCAGATTAGATTAATAGAGTGAATCAGATTTCAAACAGAAACCCCCAAGAAAGTGGGAAATAACCCATCATACCTTGTCGGCAACCGAGAGGGGAAATCAGGCGTTTCGGCCGAAGACTGAAGCTCCAACAATGGCGAAAGCACTCGGGAATATGAATCTTTCTCTTCCCATTTGTTTATTCATTAAAAAAAATAATAATAATAATCGTCTCGAATTTACTGATAATCTTTAGTATATTAATATCTCTATAAAATAAATTTCAAATCTAAATTATAATAATATAAAATTGAATTAAAAAAATCAATTGGGTAAAATGAAATTTCCATTAAAATACAAATAGGCTAAAAATTGAATTACGATGGGTTGGCTTTACATTTTCATATTATGAACACTAAACTGAACTTAAAATTCATATTCATGAATCAAGATCAGATTCCAAAATTGATTTCAGCTCTTCCCATTTCTCATATCCAAATAAATCAGTGGCATCCTCATCAAAATCCGAGAAGCTCGACGACGGCGATACGTTTGCCAACGAATTACGCTTGCCCGACGGCTGCTGCTCACTCCGGCTGCAAAAATTCCTCATGGATTGGCCGCCGTGCGTCATCTGACTCTGATCGGAAAAACTTATGAACGAATAGTCAGAGGAGAAACTGATATAGCTACTCTGTTCATTGGCGTCGGAATATCTATTGCTCGTTGTTCTGAAGTTCATATTCTCCAGAGCTCTGTTTTTGGCCGCCGGAACCTCCCTCCAGTTCGGTGCATTGAGTTTTCTGGTCGAGATATTTCGTTTGAATATACGACACAAAGTCCAAATTTCCTGGGAAAATCAGAGGAAAGAATGAGTTTTGAGTGATACCCATTTCTTAATTTTGTCAAATTTACAAGCTTTACAAATTGATTCATATGTTGAATGCTTACAGCTTCACCGAGGCTGGCAGAGGAAGAAGAAGAGGAAGAAGAAGAAGAAGGGAGACGAAATTCATTCATCATCCACTGCGTTTTAGTGGCTTTACCGGCGCTTCCACGGTAATAAACAAGCGTCTTCTTCAACCCAACAAGAACAGAGCGATCATGATAAATGGGCTTATCAATTCCAGTGGCTTTCCAAAACCCAGATCCCGTTACTCTGTTTGGCCTCGCACTGTTCTTATACTTCCTCCCACGTTTGCAGAAAAAGTACCATTCTTTCTCCCCCAATGCATTACGAGGAAGATCCCAGGGGCTGTGTTTATAGATGTCGATTTGTTTGATGAGTTCGAGGGGAAGGGGGTTGTTGTGGACCTTGCGGCGGAGGTAGAAGCTCACGAGCTCTTCATCGGTGGGGTGAAAGCGGAACCCTGGAAGATGGGATTGGGAGTCGTCGTCGTCGTTCATGGCTATGTCGGAGAACTGTGAGGGACTGCCCGCCATTGTTGTTACTGGCCTTGAGGCTTGAGGCTGGAGGAGAATTGGGGGAAGGTTTTTTTTTGTTTGCTAATATATAGGGAGAGGCCTTTGAATATTGAAGGTCAAGTCTTAGGGCTCTGACCGCTCAAAGAGTGTGTGGGAGAGACAGAGGAAGGCTTGACCTTGTTTTTCTTTCATCGCCCAAGACTTAGTTTTTATGGGATATAAAAAATTCAATCCTAACCAACTAATGTTATAACCAAAATCCTTTTTTATCGGGCTTTAATTTGGAACCACGTGCATCTAAAGCACCTTTTACTAAGATCAATGTAGTTGTATGTAAACCTAAAGCAATAGCATGATGAACCAAGAAGTCTCCCGGCCCTATTGTTAAGAATAGCGAATTACTATTCTCACTAACCGCATTTACCCAACCTGGCAACCATATGCTTTGACCGGCCGTTTGTTGAAGATAAAAGTACATCGAACCCATATGAAGTTTTACCGTGAGCAGATTGAATTTATTGGGCAAAAATGGGTTCGATTAAGATTTGTTTATCCGGAGTACCAGAAGCAAGCATGACATCATTATGAACATAACGCCCAAAATATGGAAAGCTAGCCAACTAATGTTTGACTCTGATATAATTTGTAACAACTTATGCCTTGTTAGTCATTATTGTCTACTTTGACATGTTAACTATTAGCCCCACAGTTTTAAAACTCCTGTTCTCGTAAGAGGCTTCCACTCTTACAAAGAAACACGTCTTTTAGGAGAGATTTTTACTCGGATGAGAAGGGAAGGTCAATTAAAATTTAAGTTATTTTATTTATTATTATTTAAATATTTAGAAGACAACCTTATTACTAAAACTACATTAAAAAAAAAACAAGAAAAAGAGAAAAAAAAAATCTAGAAATTATTGAAGAGTTAAATTTTAAGTTTTCAAAGTCAAAAATAATGTGCTTCCTCCTCACAAATAAGTGTGATTTTCAAAGTGGAATCCCTTGATGGTATGGGTATTGTATTACTCATCAAAAGTCAAACAAATTATTTTATAATTTCAAATTTAATATAAAAATCAATGTATTAATAATTATATGGTTAGAACGAGAAATAAATTTAGGGATACAATAACGTATTAGACCTGAATATACGAGTCTTTTGGGAGTTCTTCCATTTTTAGCGGATGTTAAGGAACAAAATTACTTTTTAAATAAAATATGTTAGTTTATTCCGTATCAAACCATCCATAGTCGTCAATATCAAATTTAAAATAATAATATTATTCAATGGTTTACATTTTTTTGAAGTTTAAAATAAAAGTTGATATATTTGGTTGATAATAAAACGTTGATTTCCATGTTTATAAAATAAGTGATAATGATAAATTAATTAATAAGTGACATCAAGAAATTTGATGTTGTCAAGTCAAAGAATATCAAACATATTGACGTGACCACGTTTAAAGTTAGTTTGAATTTATTATAAAAATTAAATCTACCATTAATATTTTGAGTGGCATTATAAGTTTTGACCATCTTATCAAAGTCATAAAGTCTCCAAAATGTCACATTTTTTTTTTTATAATTTCATTAGGAATTGACAGGACACTTTTAAATAAAGCTTCCTAATTTAAGTGTAATAGAATTTGAATATATATATATAATCATAGACGCTTAATACTAAAAAAAAACTATTATCATTAATTTAGAAGAAAACCGCTAGCATATGCTTAAATTTTTACTAGTATTTAAAAATATCCTTAAAATTTTAAAAATTTCACAACACCCCTTAACTTTTTAAAAAAATAAAAAAAAAATTAAAAAAAATTTATACAGTCAATATAGGAACGAAAAATCTATTGACAACTCATAAATTATCTATAAAAGTTTTATTATTATTTTGGAGAGTTAATGAATATTTTTAAATATTAATAAAAAAATTTAAAGTTTAAAAATATTTTTGAAAATACTTAGTATTAATAAAAAAAATTAAAAATTAAAGTTTAAAAATATTTTAAAAACATTTTGATCGTGCAAGAATTTATCAATACTTTAAATATTTAAAATATTTATTAGAGTTGGACTAAATTAAAATTAAGAGAATTAATTAAAAGGATTTTAATGGAAACATTTAAAAGGATTAGGAATTAAAAAAAAAACACATTTATATGTTTGCTTTTGCTTTTCTTTTTATATTTAAATATTTATTAGACTTTGGATAAATTGAAATTAAAATTAAGAGGATTTTAATGGAAACGTTTAAAAGGATTAGGAATAAAAAGGAAAAAAACACATTTATATGTTTGCTTTTATATATATATATATATATATATATTTTTTTTTTTTTTTGAAAGATGAGATATTATATACCACGTCTCTAATCGTTAATATTTAAATAAGACTAAGATATAATCGAAAGTGGAGGGGGCTGTGGTCAAATTATATAAAAACAAAAAGAAACCTATGACAAAGGGCATTGGAAAGTCAACCTGTTCTATCAAAATCCAGATTTGCCTCTGGTCAAAATTTCCTTGGTCAAAATTTCATCGAGAAGGGCACGGGTAGGCTTCCAAACCCTATCGTGGGCTTGGAAACCTCGTTGATATTGTCGATTGATGTACTCCGAAAGCTCTACCATCTTTCCCGATTTGCCACTATTAGTATATAAGGAGCTTTAACCTAGAATAGAAGAAAGTCCTAGTGCAGAAGTCGAGCGCATAGCTCTTTTTTTAGTCTTTAATTAAGACTGCCATTGAAGATGGGTTAATTCAAACCTTAATGGTTGACCATATTCAATAGTTAAAAATCAAGCTAAAAACTCTCGAAATTTTTCTGAATTGTGTCGGAATATTTTTTAGACCTAATCTAATTGTTCCGGTAAACTAATGAATTTGATTAATGATAATAGATTATACGGATAATGACCTAAGTCATAAATATAGATTTAGAATATTATATGGTAATTGGCCGGCAGGGTTTTGGGGTAACATTGTTTTCTAATCAAACCAAAATCAGCCACATTATGTCGGGAAGTTGTCTAAATTTACCAAACATACTCCAATAAACTAAGGTTTTATATAATTCAGGTACAACAATGTTCATGTCTTTGGGACGTTCTAAATTAGTCTTTCGTGGGACAGATGATCTTGAAACGAACGCAATAAGGAATATTTCGTTTTCCTCTCCAATCAACGTGAAATCTTACAATCTACCCTCTTAAAAGTCTATCGTCCTCATTGGCGTACGACTGGTGATACCATACGTAACAGCTCAAGCCCACCGACCAGTCTCACGATTTAGGGGTACCCAGTGTCCTCGTTGGCACACCGGTGAGTATCTAGCTTTGATACCATATGTAACAGTCCAAACTCACGATTAAACACGTATGTTAAAGAGAGATATCTATATTGTTATAAAAAATGCTTCATTCTACTCGAACAATAATCCATCGTGTTATTAAAACGAAGGGTTATTAAAAAAAGGATCAAAAGCGAAGTCCACGATGGATCTAAGTTCATCCCAGTCATCCTCATCGAACCCCGATGAAGCTGGAGACTGGTTTACAGACAAAGGAGGCGACACAGATATCACTTCAGCTGCTTCACTGTTCTTCTTCTTCATCATCATCATCGTCAGCTCCTCCCATTGTTTTCTTTCATCACAAACCAAGAATGGCTTCTTCTCTTCAAACCCATTAAACGGGTTCGAGCTAAAACTTATGTAAGTTTCTCTTCCATCTCCATCATCATAAGCTTGATGATCCACTGTTTTGGTGCTCTTCCTTTCCCGGTTGCTCGCCGGAATTTCTTTCCAATTTGGTGTGTATCTTCTACATACAATATTCCGTTTGAATATCCGACATAACGTCCAAATCTCCTGAAACGTTCAAACATAAAGAATCAGATTCATGAGAATCATTAGGAGAGAAGTCCCGTATCGACTAATTAAGGGGTTGATTATAGTTTATACTTCGAGAGCTTATACTCAAAGTGGAGAATTTCATGTCATTGCGGGGTTCGTGGTTCCTAACATAGTATCATAATCATGTCAATAGAATCCTCAAATGTCGAATAAAGAAGTTGTGAATCTTGAATGTGTAGTCAAAAGTGACTAAAGTGTCGAGTTTTTGTTTGAAGGCTCAAAAAAGAAGGAGTCGAGCCTCGATTAAGGGAGGCTGTTAAAGGGTTCCATAGGTCTCTCTATGGTGTACTTTGTTCGAGGAGAGGTGAGCCTCAAATGTGTAGTTAAAAGTGACTAAAGTGTCTAGAATTTGTTCGAGGGCTCAAAAAAGAAGGATTTGAGCCTCGATTAAGGGGAGGTTGTTCGAGGGCTCCATAGGCCTCAGAGGATGCTCTATAGTGTAGTTTGAGGAGAGGATTGTCAAGGATGGTTAGGAGAGGAGTCCCATGTCGGTTAATTAAGGAATTGTTGTTGATTATGAGTTTATAAGTAAAGAATACATCTCTATTAGTACGAGCCCTTTTAGAGAAATCCAAAGCAAACCCACGAGAGCATATTACTCAGAGTGAACAATATCATATCATTATAGAGAGTCGTGGTTTGTTTACCGCTGCGTCGGAATCGTGGGAATTGGAAGACGTATTTGGAGGGAGGCGAAACTCATGCATCATCCATTCAGTTTTAAGCCCTCTCCCAGCACTTCCCTTGTAGAAAACAAGGGTTTTCTTCAAGCCAATGCAGCGGTTAGGTTCCCCACCTTGTGAATAAATTGGCTTATCAATACCAGTGGCCTTCCAAAACCCCGCCCCCGTTACCCTATTGGGTCTAACACTGTTCTTGTACTTCCTTCCTCTTTTCACAAACACATAGCACTCTTTCTCCCCCGCCGCCCCACTTCCATCTGCAAAACAAACCCTTATAAATCACCTCAACTCTCTTAGTATATCATAACATAAACCACTGAATTTAAGCAACTTACAAGGAAGATCCCAAGGGTTGTGTCGATAGATATCGATTTGTTTGATGAGTTCGAGGGCAATGGACTTCTTCTCGACCTTCCGACGGAGGTAGTAATCGACGAGCTCTTCGTCGGTGGGGTGGAAGCGGAACCCGGGAAGCGGGAATTGGTAATCGTCGGTGTCGAAGTCGAGAGGAGTAGGTAGTGTAGCCATGATGAAAGGAAGAAGAGATATGAATTTGGGAAGAAGAAGAAGATGGAGTGTTGGATTTAAAGAACATGGGGAGGGTCAAGTCTTTGGAGAGGCAGGGATGATGGAAGACTTGTTCTTTAAAGCTTACCATTTCATACCCTTTTTTTTTATACAAAAACAAACAACATAGGGCCGCATCAAACGCCATAAATTTGTCACTATTTCTATTGTATGCATTTGCATGCTCTTTTTTTTTTTTTGTAATATTGATATTGTCCACTTTAATCGGTTACCTATCTCACAGTCTTACAACATCTCTTTTTATAACAAATGTTTTGTTCCCTTCTCTAACTGATGTAGGATCTCGAGAGATTCAAAGATTTGAGCTTCCAGCTGTCATTAATTATTAAGTTATGTTCAATTCGTAACGAAGAAACAATGATGTATGATCTCTTTCTTATTCGTGGAACCGAATGGAATAAAAATCAATGTGTGGGTCTAAATTAATTTAATAGAATTAAGTCTATTCTAATAAAAAAACAAATCTTTATTATAAATATCAAGAAAATATATATATTTATGATTTTATGAGGTCGAAAATTAGAGATAAAGAATATTAGTTCGGTGACGATGATTTTTTTTTCATATATTGAAATTGAGACACCAAATTGGATTAAAAAAGTCAAAACTAATAATGAAAATGTGACTTTATAATTTTTTTTTTAAACTCGTTCATTGAAGATGAATATAAAAGAAATTAACACTTGAAAAGTGTGAAACGTGGCGAGTATTCATAGATTCCATGTATAAATTTCTTACAATATTTGTTCAAGTCCACTACTAATATATATTGTCTGCTTTGATTCATTGTGTATCGTCGTCAGTCTTATAATTTTTAAACGAGGTTTTTACATCCTTATAAAAAATGTCGTGATCAGTGTAAAAGTAATTAAAAAAAATATTGTATTTTTCTTTAAATATAATCCTACCCATTGGTTAAAATTGAGGCATAATTTGAGCATATATATTTTTTTTTAGATATTATTCAATATAAATATAACAAAAATTAAAGAATTAAAAAAAAAAGTTTGAAATTTCAAATCTCCTGACTTTGTAAACAATAATTTTGTCAGTCTGTTAGTGCCACTTGTTTTTTATATGAAATCATTAATTTTTCCAAAAAAAAAAAAAAGAAAGAAAGAAAGAAAATAAGATTTGTCAGCACAAGCTGCTATTTTTGACTTTGAAAAAAATAAGATAATACTTATTCTTAATTTCTAGATTTCTTTTGGGGTAATATTTGTTGTTTTAAACATACCTTAATTATTTAATCATTTCAATTATAACAAAATTATAGCATTCGCTAATTACGGGTTATTTACATTAACCAAACTGGGATTAGTTTATAATATCCTTAATATAATTCAAAATCATCACTTCAAACCCACCGTTGAATTTTCATTTAATAATAATTAATGTTTCTTAAACTTACCATAAGAGTTAATAATAACTTAATTATATTAAGTGTTTTTTTTTTTACTATATATGTGTGAGATTCCACCGAAAACCTCTCCTTCACATATGTGTTTTAAAACTGTGAGGCTGACGGCAATACGTAACGGGTCAAAGCAGACAATATCTACTAATGGTGGGTTTGAACAGTTATAAATGATATCAAAGCTAGAGACCGGGCCGTGTACCAGCGAAGACGTTATTAGAATTTAGTGCAACTTATTTCTAATATATATAAATATATTAGTTAGAGAATATATTTTAGATATTCTTAAATTTGATTAGTAGCATATTTTATTTTATTCTCAAAATTTAGTTAGTTTATATTTTTCGTGTAGGTATTAGTCGGCATCTTGTATGTATTTAAACGTGGTAAATATCGATGAACCTTCGATTCTAATTCTATCTGTATTATGTAATAATATTTTCATATCTATTCACACTTTTAAGCGGTAGATATTGTGTTAGACGTTAGACCCTTAAAGGAAGTAGATCGTGAGATCCCACGTCAGTGTGTAATACGTCAGGGGATTTAAGTTGGAATATAATTAATTGGGAAGAATTTAGAGAAAATAGTTGAGGGAGAAAAAAAGCGAAAGAATCCAATAGGTGGAGGACAAAAACATGAAAAGAAAGTCAAAGTCATTTGGTCGTAAAAAAAGTCAAAGAAGAAATATTTGAAATAAAAAATAAAAATAAAAATAAAAGGAGGCCGGCTTGGTTTTAACCTCTTCTTTTTCCTCCATTTATGAAAGCTTGTAAGATTCTTTGCCGGCTTCATTATTATTACAGAGAATATGAAACCCTACATCCATCCTTTTCATTATTAACCTTTTTAATTAATCTTTCTTTTCACCTAAACATATAAAATAAAATAGCCTCCTTTTCCTTAAATTATATATTTATTATGTTAATCACCTTAATCCAAACCTAAATTATATATTTATGACCTTTTCTTCAGCTCTTGGTCTTTGCTCTATTAAAATAATCTTTATTCGTCGAGGTTGACAATTACTTGCGTGTTTAAAGTATACAGTGAAGTGTTCTGAGCTTCGACTAATACAACATGGTTAGTAAACTTTTATGAATAGATTCAGCGTTGACCGGTCAATAGATCCTGAGTTAGTTGCTTTTGCAGTAGATTCTAATCTTGATGTTGATTTGATGCAATTCGTTAGTGATTGTTTATGCATCGTGAACTTTCAAAAGAGGCAAGCATGTATATCTTGATATTAGCCGATAGTAGCATTATCTTTTGGATCAATGGGTCCTTCAGTGAACATCGTACATGCAAAAGATTTGTTATAGTTGAAGCTCATTGCTAGTAGATATTGTCTACTTTTGGTCCGTTGTGGTATTAAAGTTAGACACTGGATGGTGTGCCAATGAGAAGGGTGGATTATGAGACCGTACATTGGTTGAATAAGGGAATGAAGCATTCTTTAACAAGTGTGGAAAACTCTCCCTAATAGACATGTTTTAAAATCATGAGGCTGATGACGATTTGTAACAAGCTAAAATGGACAATATCTACTAACAGTGGCATTAGGCTGTTACTAATGATATCAGAGCTAGACATCGGGCAGTGTGCCAATGAGAACATTGGCCTCTTTGTAGATTGTTAGATCCACATCGGATGGAGAGGGGAGCGAAACATTCCTTATAAGGGTGTGAAAACGTCTCTCTAATAGATGCATTTTAAAACTACGAGGTTGAAGACAATACGTAATGGGACATAGCAGATAATATCTACTAGCGGTAGACTTGGATCGGGTCGTTACAAAATCATGATTTCAACCTCTAGAACAAAAAAACTAATTGAGGAATGGTTTATTTACATATAACATCACACGATCAAAGATGAATATCATTGATTAAGTAATTGATTGTATCCAAACAGATGATCAGTAGCATCCCCATCAAAATTAGAGAAGCTCGATGGCGGCGATTGGATTATAGAAGAACAAGGATCTTGTTCTCGTTCTCGTTCTCGTTCTCGTTCTCGTTCTTCAGAGATGGAGCTAAAATTCATCATCAATGGATTCTTCCATTGATGATCAGTAATTAAAGGCTTCTTCTCCTCAAAATTAACAAGTGAAGAGCTGAAACTAATGTAATTGCTATCTCCATCATACCACTGATCTTCACTATAAAATGCATTATCATTTGAGTTCATATTGATTAAACCATCATTCCCAGCTGCAATCTTCCTACAGTTTGGTGCATATTTCGTACTCGAAACGCTTCTCTGAAATATTCGACACAACGTCCAAATTTCCTGCGATTATAAGAACGATGATGAGAAAACAAGAACAATTTTCGAAGATTAAAAAAAAAAAAAAACTTATTACAGCTTCTTGAAGATTGTTTCTGATTCTTGCAAAGATGGAAGGGCGAGTATTAAGAGTGTGGGAAGGGAGGCGGAATTCATGCATCATCCACTCAGTTTTGGTGCCTCTGCCTGCGTTTCCTTTGTAATAGACAAGGGTTTTCTTGAGGCCAATGCAGCCATTTCCTTGTCCTCCATGAGAGCAAATCACCTTGTCAATTCCAGTTGCTTTCCAGAATCCTGAACCTGTGACCCTATTTGGTCTTATGCTGTTCTTGTATTTTCTTGCTCTTTTGCAAAAGAAGTACCACTCCTTGTCTCCCAAATTGTTGCCACTATCTGCATGATTTTCGCTTATTAATTGTTGTTGTTGTGTATAAAGAGCTTAAGAAATATGAACAACACAACTTAATGTTTCTTAATGTCTCCAAAAACATTACAAAAAACAACCCATAACCTTAACCCTTTCAAACTTTTAACCAATTTGGTGAGATCCTAGGTCGGTTGAGGAGGAGAATGAAGTATTCTTTGAAAGGGTGTGGAAACTCCTCTCTAGCAGAGATGCGTCGGTTAAGGAGGAGAATGAAACATTGTTTATAAGGGTGTGGAAACTTCTCCCTAGCAGATGCGTCGGTTAGAGGGAAAACGAAACATTCTTTATAAGAGTGTGGAAATCTCTCTTTAGCAAATGCGTCGGTTGGGGGGAACAAAACATTCATTATAAGGGTGTGAAACCTATCTCTAGCAGACGCGACGGTCGGTGGGAAACGAAGCATTCATTACAAAGATGTGAAACCTATCTCTAGCAGATGTGTCGGTTGGGGGGGAGGGAACGAAACATTCTTTATAAGGGTGTGAAAACCTCTCTCTAGTAGACGTGTCGGTTGGGGTGAAACGAAACATTATTTATAAGGGTGTGGAAACCTCTCTCTAGTGGACGCGTCAGTTGGGGTGAAACAAAACATTCTTTATAAGGGTGTGGAAACCTCTCTCTAGTAGACGCGTCGGTTGGGGAGGAAAACAAAGCATTCTTTATAAGAGTGTGGAAACCTCTCTTTAGTAGACGCGTCGGTTGGGAGGAGAACAAAGCATTCCTTATAAGAGTGTGGAAACCTCTCTCTAGCAGACGCGTCGGTTGGGAGGAAACGAAACATTCTTTAGAAGGGTGTGGAAGCCTCTCTCTAGCATATGCATCGATTGGGGGTAAACGAAGTATTGTTTATAAGGGCATGAAACCTCTCCCTATCATACACGTCAGTTGTAGGGAGGAACGAAACATTCTTTGTAAAGGTGTGGAAACCTTTCCGATCGGTTTTAAAAACTTTGAAGGAAAACAAATTTGATCTCTTTATGAAACAAGAACAAAAGGAAAGATCGAAACAATGAACTCCCTTGAATCATACAGTTTTGAAAATATGAAAAGGTGGATTTTTGAGAAAAGAAAGGGAAAAAAGGTTATACCTTTGAAATCTTCAAACAAAACCCATATGCATATTGTTCATAAAATTAGAAACCAAAGAAATGAATCTGAAAGTGAGGAATCATACTAGGAAGATCCCAAGGACTATGCTTATAGATATCAGTGGACTTGATGAGCTCAGTGCCGATGGCCTTCTTATCCACCTTTCGCCGGAGATAGAATCCGACGAGTTCTTCATCGGTAGGGTGGAACCGGAACCCTGGAAGTGGGAACTGACAGTCATCAATCTCACCCTCTGCAAACATTCTCAAACCGAAGGCAGGAGCTGATCGCACAAATCAAAGTAAAGAGGTTTCAATTTATAGGGTTCTTAAAAAGTTGTGGTCTTTTTCGTTTCACTGCACAAATCTATGGTATAAGAAGCAGTTGCCAAATATGAATAAATGGAATAGATTAATGTTGATTAATACCAAAGTAGCGCTGTCATTAACTCCGTAATCACATGTTAAGAAAGCATCATAATAAGGGAGGAGACAGTGGAGCACTAAATGTGGTGCTCTCTAGCTAAGCAATGTTGGATATTCTATTAACAATAATGTATCTGTTTAAGGTTTTCAAATCTAAAATTAGTTTTTTGATTAAAGTCAATATTATTATTTTTAATTGTAAGACAAGATGAGGAAATTTAGTGCCTTCTAGTTTTTTTAATATACATATAATAATTAGGATGTAATACAAAATTGTTATGGGAAATTACTATTGTGTCCTTCCCTTTCTTGATCCACTAAAAAAAATAGAGGATAATTACGATGAGATCTCACCTCGGTTGGAGAGTGGAACTAAGCATTCTTTATAAGGGTGTGGAAACCTCTCTTTAACATACGCGTTTTAGAAATCTTGAGTGGAAGCCCCGAAAGGGAAAAGCCGAAAGAGGGCAATATCTCATAGTTGGGTTTGGGTTGTTACAATGGTTTCAAAGCCAGATACTGAGCAGTGTGTTAGTAAAGACGTTGAGCCCTGAAGGGGGTGGACACTGGGCGGTATACCAGCGAGGCTGACGGCGACACGTAACGAGCCAAAACGGACAATATCTGTTAGTGGTGGGTTTAGATTGTTATAAATGGTATTAGAGCCAAACACTAAGCGATGTGGTAGTGAGGACGCTGAGTCCTAAAGGGGGCGGACACTAAGCAGTGTACCAGTGAGGATGCTGAGCCTTGAAGGGGGTGGATACTGGAGGACGGTAGGCCCTATAGGGGGGTGGACACCGAACTGTGTGCCAGCAAGACTGACGGCGACACGTAACGGACCAAAGCGGACAATATCTATTAGCGGTGGGATTAGACTATTATAATGGTAACAGAGCCAGACACCGAACAATATGCCAGCAAGGAAGCTAGCCCTGAAAGGAGGCGGATTGTGAGATCCCACATCGATTGAAGAGACTAATAGAGTCACATTGATTAGCATCGATGATTGTGAATGGCCAAATCTAAGTCCATTAGTAACTTCAAACTACAACATGATGCAATGGAAACAACCTTAAACCCTAAAAAAAAGGGTGTACGAGGATGAATGAAACACATAGATATTATAAGAATTTTGAGGTATGATAGAGGCGGCTGATTAAGTTAAGGATCCATCTTCTAGAAAGAAGAAACAAGAGTGAAAGTTCCTAGGATTTGAATGCCAAATCTCTCTCTCAAGGAACAAGGGAGTTATCCTTAGATTTTTTTGTTTAAGCATACGTTGTTGGGGCACCAAACATGATTGATTCCCCACTTGTTGTTTGTCTTTATCCCCTTTTGTTGCTTAAAATAAAAGGTTTCCTCTGTCAAGAGAACATTATTGAAGGATTTAATACTAAGAAAGAACTCATATTTTAGCAATAGTTTTTGGAGGATGACGATGGGTGGCGGCTAATGAACCCAGAATGTGAGTCGACGATCCAAAATGGGCAGCTGCCCCTTTGCATTCATTGAATCCAAATAATAGAAGTATTAATCTAATACAGACAGGGAAAGAGCTGAAATGATGAACCCGTGGGCTTAGATTCTCCCCTTTTCAAATGGGAACAGAATTGGATGATCCCATAATGACATCAATCTTATGTTATAATGTTATATTATGTTTGGGATTTTTTTTGTTGCAACCGTAAGAGCTCAAGCACATCGCTAAGAGATATTGTCTTCTTTAGATTTTTTCTTTCGGGCTTTTCTTCGAAGTTTTTAAAACGTGTTCATTAGGGAGAGGTTTCCACATCCTTTTAAAGAATGTTTCGTTCCCCTCTCCAACCGATGTGGGATCTCACAATCTACCCACCTTCGAGACGCAACGTCCTTACTGGTACTCATTTTCGTTCCATTCTCCAACCGATATGAGATCTTACAATCTGCAACGTCCTCCCGTGTCCACCCCCTTCGGGGCGTAGCGCCTCGCTGGTACACTTGCTAGTGTCTGGCTCTGATACATTTTGTGACAGCTCAAACCCACCGCTAGTAGATATTGTCCTCTTTAGTCTTTCCTTTGTGGGCCTCCCCTCAAGATTTTAAAAACACGTCCGTTACAGAAAGACTTCCACACCCTTATAAAAAAATGTCCGTTCCCCTCTCCAACCTAACGTGGGATCTCACAATTCACCCCCCTCCCCCCCTCCAGGGCTAGCGTTCTCTCTTAGGCTCGTTTTCGTTCCCTTCTCCAACCGATGTGGGATCTCACAGTGCACCTTGTTGGTATAGGTAGTAACTTTTATTTTCTTTAAGTCTTTTTAGTCTTCCTATCTTCATCCTCATAACTCATTCGAATGTGATCTCACTTCATTCATGTGTCTCTTCCTTACTTTAGTGTCTTATAAAATATTAGAACAAAATGAGATTCTCCAAATAAAACCTTGACTTTGGCAACTCCTAAATGGGTTTACGAACCCGAATACATCATATCAATTTCAAGCTTAATCGCTCAATATATACACCAACATTTCAAGCCGAACAAGCACTATACCTTTTTTTCTTTCTTTTGTTCGTGATGTAAAATAATGTACGCATCTTCAACATTAAGATCTATCGATCTACAAAAGAAAAGAATCTGAGAATAACATATCTTTTCAACAAGAAGGAAAAAAAAAGCAAGAGAATCCATGAAAGCATCTTTGTAAGAACACATCATGAAGCCAATAAGTCACCCACAGAATGGGTCACCCACTTCTCAAGCTCTTACTTAGTGCTATCAAACACATCTCAAAGCCCTAATGCCACCCCCCATAACCTTTAATTTTGAGGCCAAAAGGGCCAATAAATTAAACCCTTTTTTTCTCTCCCTAATCACAATTAATTAAGAAAAAAGATCCCATTTTGGTTGATCCTTCACAGATTTACTTAATTAATTAACCCTGTCCTTACTAGATATTATACATTTTTACCTATTATATATCTTCGTCAATTTCACGGTTTTAAAACGCATATACTAAGGAGAAGTTTTCATACTCTTATAAGAGATGATTCGTCCTCCTCTCCAACCGACATGGGATCTCATAATCCACCCCTTGGGAGCCAACCTACTCGCTGGCACACTGCCCGGTGTTCAGTTCTAATACCATTTATAACATCTTAAGCCCACTATTTACAGATATTATTCACTTTACGCGTCTATTAGAAAGAGATTTCCACATCCTGATAACAGATGTTTCGTTTCCCTCTACATACGAGATCTCACACTTTCATCAAACGGGTCCTTGAGTTCTTGCAAACGGAGACTACAGAAACAAAAGCACATCTCAAAAAGCAGAAAAGCAATCAATTGAACTGTATGTATGAAGAACCACTTGATGAAAAAGAGAGTTTTTTAGAACCCAAAAAAAAAGTCATTTTTAATAGTTAGTTTAAGGTACAAAGGTCGATCAAATTTTACATGTGTAATAATTGTGTCAAATTACACTCCATAATTTGTCACATAAGGTAAATACATTAAACTTGCTGCCAATTCTTGCAGCCAGCTCTCTTCTTCTTCTTCCTTATTCTGTCCAAAAAACACAACAAAACACAAAAAATGATAAAGGTCTTGTCTTTATAACCAAAAAACATAGAATCAAGAAAAATGGATAATTTGTATGGTTTTTACCGTTTGATTGTGAGATGGGGCAGTTAAATGGTTGGTTTTGAGATGGATTTCAGTGTCACAAAGCTCGTTGTTGTTGCGAGCAAATCTTCCTCGTACTCGTGTTCTTCTGTCTGCTAGGGTTTTGCGACATGCATACTGTGCAATAACATACAAAAACCATGAGGATTTTAAGAACTATATGTTAGTAATTACGGACCTCCACAGTAGTATGATATTGTTCACTTTGAGTACAAGCTCTCGTGACTTTACTTTGGGCTTTTCCAAAATAGCTCATAACAATGAAGATACTGTTCCTTACTCATAAACTCATGACCAACCCGTTAGTTAGCTAACATGAGACTCCTCTTCCAACAATCCCGAACAAATTATATAAATTAAGAGAGAAAAGGAGAATTGTTAGAACCTTAATGGTTTTGTTGAAATTCCTCTGGTTTCTCTTTTTCAAATATCTAACAATTCTCTCTTTTCTTTCTTCTTCCGAGTAGCGGCTTGCCACCTTAATATTTGTCTCTTCCACGCCATGCAATTCGTAGCTACTTTGAGTTCCCTACGTCACAAAATACTTCAAATATCATACTATAACTTATTAGCTTAAGCTTTTGAATTTCGAGACATATTATTACCCAGATGTTGCGATAAAAGGGCTTCAAATCAGGCACAAAGCCTAAGAGTTCGTCGTCGTAATTGCACGAGCCGGGCACTCGTGGCTGGTTGCCGATTACGCTATGGATGCCATACATACCCTTGTTAAATTCGGGCGATGATGGAACAGTCAGGTCGGGATACGGCATTGTTAGGAGCGGTGATTGGGTATCGGACTCAAACGACGCCATCTGATCTAAGGTAGAAACGAAAGTTTCTTCCCCATGAGGCAAGTTAATATTATTGTTGTTGTCGTCGTCGTTTCTAATACCACCGATTCCGGGGTCTCCAGCCGCCATTAATAGGCTCTGAAGGTCGGAAAAGTTGTTGGGATAAAGATGGTCGGAGTAGAAGTGAGGAAATGAAGCCATGGAGATTAGTTAAAGATGTGAAAGAAGAAAGAGAGAATTGTTGGGGTCTAAAAAATTTTGGTGTTTCTTTTAATCCAATACTTTTGTTAATGCATCCAACTTTTATAGACAACAATTGGGTCAGCTTTCAAAGTTGATGCAACGAGGGGTAGGGTAGCCCCGTAAATTGTCTGCTG